CGCAACAAATTCTACTATAAAAACCCACCAAAGACATGCACAATACACAACCCATTCTGTTCACAACAAACATTTCTTGCTAAACACCATTTCACTGTACCCATGGCTTTTTTTCTTGCTTCTTCAAGAGTTCCAATGTTGTTGTTGTTCTTGGTCTTTTTGACAACGAGTTCTTTGATGGGGTCATCTCTAGGTAACTTCTACCAAAACTTTGACATTACATGGGGAGATGGGCGTGCTAAGATACTCAACAATGGTGAGCTTCTCACTCTCAATCTCGACGAAGGTTCTGGCTCAGGATTCCAATCCAGGAATGAGTATTTATTTGGAAAGATTGATATGCAACTCAAGCTTGTCCCTGGCAACTCTGCTGGCACCGTAACTGCCTATTATGTAAGTTTTCTTGATATTAATGCTCCCTATTTTGACTAAGAAAATTTAACGTATGCTCTTAGTATTAATCTGTATGTGTACGTTTTCAGTTATCATCAAAAGGGTCGACATGGGATGAGATAGACTTTGAGTTCTTGGGGAACTTGAGTGGTGATCCCTACATTCTTCATACTAATGTGTTCAGCCAAGGCAAAGGCAACAGGGAGCAGCAATTTTATCTCTGGTTTGATCCAACTACTGATTTCCACACCTATTCCATCCTTTGGAATCCACAAAGAATCATGTAAGCTAGCACTAGCTCCCACATCTAAATACAAACGACCAAGTTAATTTAGAGTTCAAATTGCTAACATTTTCTCCTGATTTGTCTCAGCTTCTCTGTAGATGGCACCCCTATTAGAGAATTCAAGAACATGGAGTCAATTGGTATTCCATTCCCAAAGAATCAAGCAATGAGAATTTACTCTAGTTTATGGAATGCAGATGACTGGGCTACAAGAGGCGGTTTGGTCCAGACTGATTGGTCGCAAGCTCCTTTTACTGCCTCTTACAGGAACTTCAACGCTGATAAAGCTTGTGTTTGGTCTAATGGTGCATCTTCTTGTGGTACAAATTCCTCCCCTCCAGCAGCTTCTTCCAACACCGGTTCTTGGCTTTCAGAAGAGCTTGATTCAACAAGCCAAAAGAGGTTACAATGGGTCAAAAACAACTACATGATATACAATTATTGCACAGATGCTAAGAGGTTTCCTCAAGGATTTCCTCAAGAATGCAGCATGTCTTAGAGAGAGAGAGAGTAGACAGAGTCACAGAGCAGGACATAGAATATAATATTCCTTAAATTCTTTCATTATTTTTTCTCATCACGCAAATTACAGAAAAATGTATGATTTTTTTATTTTTTATTTTTATTCCAATGTTTTCCAATAATATGTGTTGAATTAAAGAACGACTTGTACTATATATATTTTCCCAAACTTTGTAATTCACTTTTTTCCCCCCTTAAAACATAGCCATTGTACTCCCATGAATTCTTATGCCAAACAATTTAAAATTCAGACCTGAAACCTTATAAATTGGTAAACAGAAATTCTTCTACAATTTGCTTTTCTTATGCATATTGCAAATTGGGGTATCGATGGGGCCATCAATAAATTTGTGTCCTCAGAAGTCAAAACTAATAGGAATGCTTCGAGCTTTAACGTAACTAAGTAGTTAAGAGCATTTTCAAGGATGCTCTCTACTTTTAGTTGATATTTTTAAAATAAATAAAGAGCATCATTAATTATATAGATTAAAAATCAATATCCTCTCTAATGTCATCCTCTCGTTTAATTCTTTATTTTGACAAAATCTATAAAACCTAGAGAGATTATTGATGAAGAGATTGAGTGGTATAAGAAATAGTAATTTTTATCAATGAAATATAAGATAAAGAGTCATTTAGACTCTACAGTATTGGAGAGCCAAAGACACTCTCTATATCAATTTTAAAGATAGAGATTGTGATAAAGATAACATTGGAGATGCTCGACTCCTTGAATTAAGTTTCAATATCATTGATAATGTGAAAAATAACAATATCGGTTTCAGTTATTGAGGTTTCAATAATTAATAGCAAGTTCATCCATGAAGGATCGAGTTAGCAGATTGAAGATAATCGGTAACGAAGCAAGACACATCGAAGAGAGTCAATTTATTCTTCAAATATATAACACAATATCGTTATCTCGATTATGTTATGAATCACAATTTGCATACTAAATTAATCAATATTATATTTTTTTTATTCTTATATTTCTCAAATTTATAAGCTTTTAATATATAAAAAGTATTAATAAAAGTATACAAAATCAAAATATAAATCTTACATATTTTTATGAAATCATAACGATTTAATACCAAGTTAATATAACTTCCATGATTAAAAAAAATTAATAAATTGTTATCATCTTTTTATATTCTCGTTTTCAAATATATTCCAAATATATCATACTTGAACTTTCATATTAATCCTTAAAATTATATTAAATTCATAATTTTAAACTAATAAATAATGATGTTGCATTTCATAATTGAAATAATATATATATGAGACAGATTTTATAAATTTTAATATGATTGATAAATATTTAATTGAGACTTTTTTAATATTTTAAGAATTTAATTTAAACATAAAGAATATGATATTGCATATTAGTTTAATATATGAAAAGAATGAATAGAAACTTTAATGAAATGAAGTAACTGATACAAACAAAATTTCATGGGAGAAGTTGAAAAATCTCAAATATCGGAAAGACAAATTAAAATTCACTCTTTATTTTGGATAGCGTGCCATATAGATGGTAAAAAAAGAAGAAGCAATTTTAAACATCATATATAACACCACCACCACCACCCCAAAAAAAAAAAGCTGTAACGGTTGCTGTAGTGGGGATGCTTTTGAAGTGGCACATTTAACTAGAGTTCCAGGACCTTGATTAGCATTATATATATATATATATATATTTTTTTTTTGTTTTTGTTTTTTCAATTGCTACTCTAAAGAAAATTTTTAGTTTACTATGATATGAGTTGTTTTCAAATAAAAAAAGGAATTTATTTCACCACACGTTATTTCTTTTTCTTTTTTCTTTTTTCTTTTTATTTAGTAGCTTACACACTTTTGGGTTTATAAAGAACACACAACCTTAGCAATATAGATACACACTCAAAGACATAAAAAATATGATTAATAATTGCAGACAAATTTATTTATTCATTTATTTTTACCATGTCTTTCTATTCTTTTTCGTTGTAAATTCATCTCTTTACGTTTAATTATTATCTTAATCTCATCTATTTGTTCATTTTTAGACTAATGGTGTTAACTTGTTCGTCTTTTTTTCTATTTTAATATCATCTCTCTATTCTATTTTTTCGTCTTAATCTTTTTTTTTTTGGCCAAATTTAAATAAAGTTTTTTTTTTAAATTATAATAGACTTGTTTGAGATATTATAAAATTATAAATACCATTCAAAAATTTAAAATTTTAACTAAAACTCTTTTAATATTTTTTAAAAAATACTATAAATATTTTATTTTATATTTAAAATTTGCATAATATTTAAATTTGATATAAACAATACAAGATTAAGATAAAAAAAAAAAAAAAGTATGGGCATGAGAGTAAGGTTAAAAAAAAAAAAAAATTAACACCTTTAGTCCAAAAAATTAACAGAAGGACGAGATTAAAATCTAAATCAAATATTCAAGGATGAAATTAAGAGAAAAAAATTAAAAGAACATGATAAAAACAATAGAAACAACCGCGAGACCTGTGTAATCATGAACTCATAAAAAAGGTCAAGCTCTTTATTTATGTTTTCATAAGTTGAAAACATATACGAAATGATTAAAGTGAATATTTTCTACACTTCGAGAGTAACTATCATTTCGTACTCATCTATTTAAATTAAGTCACATGTACCGATTGACAATCGCATTAAATTTAACATGTTTTATGTGATTTAAACAAATTGAAATGATGTATGAAAATATAAATATAAATCATATCAAATTTAATATATAATTGTTTGTAGCTTAATTTAAAGGGATGGAGTTTGAAGTGTTAGATATTCCTAGAATACAACAATTAATTAATGATGTTCAATTCTTCCAAATATCTTTCCTTTTCTATAACCATTATAATTATTGTTTATAATGATTTGACTAAAAATATGAAGATATGTCTTTCCATAATTCTTTAATCCATGATCTCAAAGATTTTTTTGAAACTTTTTACATTTAATAAATTTTCACTAGACTTTCCACTATGAGAATTTATGTGTATATATACATAGTCATCAAAATCTTCTCTATTATATCACACCATTATATTCTAATTCTAAAATTATTAAAGGGATGGAGTTTGAATTGGTAGATATTCCTAGAATGCAACAATTAATTAATGATGTTCAATTCTTCCAAATATCTTTCCTTTTCTATGACCATAATTATTGTTTATATTTTAAAATGAGTTTTATGCATATTAAGACTCCGTAAAATTTAAAATTTTTTGATTGAGATCCTAAATTTTTTTTTGTCTAATTTAAGAATTCTATTTTTACGTTGTTGTTGTTTTATACTTTAACCATTGACGAGTTTGCCACGTAAGCACACATGGCAAGCTCTAGCCAATGACAGACTTGTTACATCACCATTCAATCACCCAATTTAAACCCACCATGACACATGAAAAGATGTCATTGACTAGAGTTTGCTACGTATGTTTACTTAATATATTAGGTTCGAAATAATAATAATATAATAGTAGAAGTATCAAATTCGATTAAAAAAAACTTAAGGTCTCAATAAAAAAATTCGAATTATATGATTCTCTATATATATAAAACTCATTTTAAAATTGATGATTTGACTAACAATACGAAGATATGTCTTTCCATGAGTCTTTAACCCAAATCTAAAAGATTTTTTGAAACTTTTTACATTTAATAATTTTTCACTTGACTTTCCACTATGAGAATTTATGTGTGTATATATACAGTCACCACAATCTCCTCTATTATATCACATCATTATATTCAAGTTCTTAAAGCCGAATATGGCCATTTCTCGTTCTCTCTCCTTTTTTGTTCCTCTTCTGGTCATCTTTGTCTTGACCAACTCTACCTCAAGTGAAGCCCAAACCCAAGATGTAATCGACGAAGTGTGTCGACAAATGGAAGAATATGGTTTCTGCAACCGGACTTTCCATGAGAACATGAAAAGCCCAACAACAGACTATGTTGGTCTCACAGCAATAGCGATGGACCAAACAATAAAAAATGCAAGCAACACATATGATTATATCGTGCTTCTTGTAAAGAACACAACTGACCCAAAATTCAAGTTTGCTTTAATGGTATGTGAGAGCGCTTTTAGTACAGTGAGGTCTTCTTTCCAGACTGGTTTGCAATATTTTAACAAAAAAGATAATGCTGGTATGCTTAACGTTGAACATGACACACCGAGAAGACAAGCCAACTGCGAGGCTAGTCTCAGTATACAACCAACTCCAAATCCATTGGTTGATAGGAATAGGCAAATGAGGATTCTGATTGCTATGTCTTTGGTCACTGGACATCAACTACTTCATTGATATTATTATTGTAAGGGCACGCAGTGATCGTTGGTTTACAATATAGTTAGGTTGTTTGGCTAACAACCCTTCTCGATCGTGTCAACCACACACACAAATTTTATCCATGGATTTAATCCTCGAAGAAATAAAATTTGAACCCCCTTCTTTTATTTTGAGTTTCTCTCTTGGCAATTTTTTTCTCTTTTGAGTTTTTATAAAATATTTATTTTTTATTAATGTTGTTGAAATTCGAATACAAATATTGGATAAGATATGAATTTGAATATCGATTTTTTTTTAAATCATTAAAGTATCTCGAACCTAAAAGTCTAGACTAATTCATCGTTATCGGACACATAAGATGACTACAATTATTTAAGACGTTTTATGTATATATAAAGATTCGAACCTGAAACTATTTGTTTAAATAACTAAAATTCCTTTTGCTCAAATCAATTTTCTTCGGTATCAAATCACTTTTTGGTTCCTTCATTAATATCTAAAAAGGAAAAAAAAGGTTCATAATCTAGCCCTATATTATTAACACACATTTGATGGTCCCATCGATATCCAATTTTGCAATATAGATAAAAAAATGTGGAAGAATTTCTATTTACCACGACTAATTCCATCTTCTATTTCAGTGTTCCAAGATTTCATATGTCTGAAAATGTCTCGGGTTGACAAGATCAGCCTTGCATTGTGCCAGCCCATCAACCAATAAACAAGCTTTGATGCCGACTTGATTATTGGTCTAAGCCCTCTGCCCTAACACCAACTCTCTCTACCCAATACCTCAAGCCAATGCTTTAGCAGAATGCCATAATTATTGAAAATTTACGGTTTTACAATTAAAGTTGATACTTCGTTTTATAAGGTTTCAGGTCTGAATTTTAAATTGTTTGGTATATGTTTTAATGGAAAAAAAAATGGATCACAAAGTTTGGGATAATATAATACAAGTTCTTTAATTCAACACATATTATTGGAAAACATAGGAATAAAAATAAAAAATAAAAAAATCATACATTTTTCTGTAATTTGCGTGATGAGAAAAAATAATGAAAGAATTTAAGTATTATAATCTATGTCCTGCTCTGTGACTCTGTCTACTTCTCTCCCTCTAGGACATGCTGCATTCTTGAGGAAATCCTTGAGGAAACCTCTTAGCATCTGTGCAATAATTGTATATCATGTAGTTGTTTTTGACCCATTGTAACCTCTTTTGGCTTGTTGAATCAAGCTCTTCTGAAAGCCAAGAACTGGTGTTGGAGGAGGCTGCAGGAGGGGAAGAATTTGTACCACAAGAAGATGCACCATTAGACCACACACAAGCCTTATCAGCGTTGAAGTTCCTGTAAGAGGCAGTAAAAGGAGCCTGTGACCAATCAGTCTTGACCAAACCACCTCTTGTAGCCCAGTCATCTGCATTCCATAAACTAGAGTAAATTCTCATTGCTTGATTCTTTGGGAATGGAATACCAATTGACTCCATGTTCTTGAATTCTCTAATAGGGGTGCCATCTACAGAGAAGCTGAGACACATCAGGAGAAAAATGTTAGCAATTTGAACTCTAAATTAACTTGGTCAATTGGGTTTAGATGTGGGAGCTAGTGCTAGCTTACATGATTCTTTGAGGATTCCAAAGGATGGAATAGGTGTGGAAATCAGCAGTTGGATCAAACCAGAGATAAAATTGCTGCTCCCTGTTGCCTTTGCCTTGGCTGAACACATTAGTATGAAGAATGTAGGGATCACCACTCAAGTTCCCCAAGAACTCAAAGTCAATCTCATCCCAGGCCGACCCTTTTGACGATAACTGAAAACATACACATACAGATTAATACT